GTAGGCTTAGCTGTTTTCTGAGCTGAGACTCAGAAGCTAATCCTCAGAAAAAGAGAAAGGACGCTAACCCTGATGCAGCCCATGTCCATTTCCAGTTTGTCATTCCATACTTCAAAGCATATATGATGAAATCCCCCAAGGTATTACAAGAGTTCTGGCATAGCAGCCATCCTCAGCCCTGTGCTAGACTAATGCCTCATAAACGAAGTCTGGAAACATCCTTTCAACATTTCGAAAGTCTTTGTAGCCTTGGATCTTTACGAACCTTTTAGAGCTGCAGAGGAAGAGGTGCTTTCCTGCTGGAGGAGATATAAGGTATTTGTGCATCATTATGTTGACTAGAAATTCCTGTCCGCTCACCATAAAATAGCCTAGCACCCATACAGTGCAGTATACTTATGCACTTCTTTGAGAATAGTTATAGTTCAGGACAGGAACCAGGCATAGATATTCTTCAGATTTTTGCCAAAGGAGCAGTTATATAAAAATAAAGTGCACAAGAAAATATGATAGACATGTAATTTAAGACATTCAGTTCCCAGGGCACTGTGGTACACCACTGAATACCACTTATTATACGACTTGCTGAACTGTCAGATTATAGGGTTTTATAAATACATTCGTTATTGGTCTCCTCAGTCTAGCATAGTGCAGTTTACCAGAACAGGATGAAACTCTGTCAGGCTCCTACAGTCACACAGCGAGATGAAAGGGGACCAGCGGATATTGCCCAGCTTAGTTAACTAACTGCAAACAATTACTGTCAGTACATCCTGTAGCCCCAAACCCAAAACAATTTCGTTTGCCTTATATCAGGCAGAAAATACGTTTTCATCTTAGCGGTTGCCAATTGTCCAAATGATAACTTTGACTTAATGTTTCAGCACTGGTTCCTTCTGGAACAGTAGCGTATTCTAGCATTGTATCAATGGGAACAAGGGTACAAGCTGTGCTCCAAACCTTAATGTGGAGAGGTGCTGTCAAAGCCTCCTGTGACCCAGACTCACTGAATAGCACTGGCAGCAGTGCAGAGATATTAGCTTCTAAAAGGTTTTGAATGGGATTGACCTCTCTAAACAGTCAGAGATTTTCAGTTATTTATGCTTAGGCTGCATTCTCATTTATTGTAATTACATAACAACAAATATCTGAAGAGCTGGGCAGAGCGTGGTGGAGCCCAGCAAGTCAAGGTAGAGAACAGTGGAGCATGGAGAGGGAGCGCTGGGCGGAGCAGAGTGGGTCGATTTGGAGTTTCATGCTACACTGTAGTGCTACCTTAAGTTACATACTGTAGCTATAAGTGGAATTGCAAGTTTGTGTATAAGATCCAGTCAAATTTATCTGCAACAACTAAAGGCATCAATCCTTTAAATCAATCCAACATCATGCACCGATGTGCTACTGTCACAGAAAAAGTTATTATTTATCCCATTCCACAGCTGATTCTGCAATAAAATATCTGGTTCAGTTGTTAGCCTTTTTACTATAGCATCTCCTATTAATTCCTTAACCCAACCACCTCACACATCCCCTTTGGTCAACTGTCAAACCTGCTGGCAGAGAGGCAGCAAAACAAAACGTGCATTGACTCTTTAAATAACAAGGACCTTCAGAATGGGGTTTGTCTATTAACCAAGACAGCACCTGATTCTGTGGGCGTGTGTGGGCGTATGTGTGAGTGTGTAAGAGAGAAAAAAAGGAGAGGGAGAAAATGAAAGTGATAAATTGAAGGGAGTCATTCTGCCCCCACTGTTCTCACTCAGCGGACTTGTGATAAGGTTTATCTCCCGTACCTAGTGAGTTTACCCAGTAGCGTCCTACAGCTCCTTCTGAGTGGACCAGGGCACACAGAGCTGAATACAACCAGCAGTGGGCTGAGCTCCCTCAGGTGACCTGTGTGCGTTGTTCATGTTATGCCGCTTTCGAACTTTATTTTCTGTTGGAAATGCCTTTGATCCCTTCGGCCACATCTCTTTTAATCTGGGAGTTCTTCTTTTTATGCCTCCTTTTTTTTTCCTCCTTTCTACTCACTGTAACTCAGACTGCCAAGAGAAGCTGTAAGAGCTGGAGAAAGAGATGCTGTAGAGCTTTGGCACAGAGAGGCGTGTGTCCCAGAGGCAGCGGCTGAGGCAAAGATGGAGACACAGAGAACGAGAGGGGGCTGTTGCTGAGTTAAGCCCCTAATCACAGTCTGCTCTACATGAAGGACTTAAAGTCACTCCATTTAATGCTACCTTCTCTTCCACCCAAGAACAGAAAGAAATACTATTGCTTACGGTATCTCTTCAGTTTTCTAATGCCTAGGCCCCATTCCTATCACATTTCCATTAGTGTGATGCATTAAAGTGCACAGCTGAAGTATACAGCCAAAGAGTACAGAGAAATATGCAACTCAAGCAGATGCACAGAGACACAGAAGTAAACATGAACACTAGCGCACACACAGCAATGCCAGCACAAATGTTTAGCTTTCTACAGTCTCACGTTAGCCTAACACGAGCGACCGATACAGCCCCTGAGAGCAACAACTCGTAAAATCACACACGGCAGTTCTCATGAAATGAAGCTGTGTGAAACCATTCCATGGTGAACCACACTAGTGACTGACATGGCTGCCTTGCCCTTCACTGGTGTGCTCAGGTGCTTCATTTGTTTGGGTGAGAAGTGGAGGATATGAGAAGATCTTCTGAGACTGCAGGTTCCCATCGGCTCAAAATATATTAATTGACTTGGCTCCACTTTCAGCCAGGTGTAACCACTTTTGCAGAATACTCAGGAACATTGGCAAGATCTTTTGGGAAATCCCCCCTGTTGTGTCAAAGCCACACTTTCTGCACTACCAGCTGCTGTCTTACTTCACTTCCCTTTCTCTTCTGCATGGCTAGCAGACTATGGTTTGGTGTATAGGCCTTAATCTAATGTTGGAAGATTGATTTATGCTTGGGTGTCTCACAGCCATTAAGATAATAGTATGATCACTTTATAACATCCTCCCCTGGTGGCCATGGTAATTTGGTTCCCCACCACTACCCACTGTGTTCAGTAGGACCCATAACCATATTATGATGATAGACAAAGTGGTTGGAAATATCATCTTTCTGCCCCTGGAAAGTGATTTCATACAATTTCTACTGGCTTCTAAAACCCCTTTACACTCTCACCTATGCTGACCATTGACCTGCTCGAGGCTCCTAGGTCTTAACGACTTGTATTGATTGAAATTTGTCAGCTAGCATCTCGTGTCACCTTGTAATTCCAATGGTCGAGGATAAGAAGTACTGAGATCCTCGACTTAAAAGTAGCAATACAACAGTGAAAGCTACTCTGTTAGAAGTAAAAGTCCTGCATTCACGATGTTACTTAAGTACAAAAGTATTAGCATCAAAACACACCTAAAATACTAAAAGTACTCATTATGCAGAATGGCACAATTCACAATCCCATATATCATATTATTGTATTATAATGACTAATACATTACTGTGTTCATCACATTTAATGTCGCCACTTGTAAAGGGGGGCTAGTTTTAAACAGCTTATATGCATTTAATTTGAATTACTGCTTGGTAGCTTGTGAATTTGCCACCATAAATCAATGAGATCTTATAATTATACTTCATTTTTTAATTAATCTACTTATAAAAAGTAAGTAAAGTTTTAAAATAAATGTAGTGGAGGAAAAATATTTGCCTCTAAAATGTAGTGAAGTTAAATTATGAAGTAACAGAAAATGAAAATACTCAAGTACAGATACCTCAAAATTGTACTTAAGAAAGTACTTAAGTAAATGTACTTAGTTACTTTCCACCACTGAGTGAGATCATTACTGTCACAATTCACTTTAAGCTGTTAGGGCGAGACAAGTGCACTTTGATTGCATTCAATGGGAAACGACTGCTAAATGGTGTTATGATCTCTGTCGACAAAATCTTTATTAAAATTAAAAGATATGACTGTCGGCTAATCGCTGCCTAAGAGGAGATGTTAGCATCAGTGAAAGTCAAATTGCTTTGACAGACCGAGTCTAAAAGAAGCTCTTGAGTATAAAAACTGCCAGTTTAGAAACACTTAACACATCAAAATCTTTGCAGATAAAATACAAATGGCAAGCTCAGAAATATGTTGTGATTTTAAGGTTAAAACTGACAGCAACAAAGATCCAGCTGAAAATATCTTCCATTGTTTATTCATGAAGAATTTGTCTTTTATTATTATGTATAGTACTAGTATTATAATTAGCAGTGGTAGCACTGTCGCCTCCCAGCAAGATGATCCCCGGTTATTCCGTTTTCATATAAGCTGTGACTGTATAGGTTGGAACAATGACAGTATAAACTGGGGGAATTTAAAAGCTACCAGTTTTCACTATATCACTTACATCAAGGTAGAAGCTCCTTTAAATTTCCTACAAATTAATGAGCAGGAATATTTTTTTCTATATTGAATTTACTAGATTTTTGCATAAATGTGATTAAGTACTTTGATTTGTCAGGTAGTGGATTATTTATAGACATATGTAGTTGTTTTATATACAAGTATTTTCTCTATTTTATTTAAAAAGGAATCACTGTATCACAATATATATATATATATATATACACAGTATTTTAACATTCCATTATAAAATTACAAGAACTGTAACTGCCTGTGATCTATCCATATCATAGGTCCAGATACAACCTGTGTTTACTGACATATGGACTATGCAAGCTGTGCTGCACTAATCATCACTAGTGACAGTGATTATAGCTGAATCCTATTACGTCTCCCTCCTTATAACATTTGTTAACTTGTTTGGAAAAGAAGTTTGTGCTTTTTAAGTGCTACACTGATTGTATTGACTGATTTATTAAGAAGTGTGACAAATTTAGAAACATGAATCCCTTTTCCCTGTTAAAACATGAATACACTGTAGAGAAGTTATGAAACCAATGACCCAATGGTAAAACTGTTCTTTTTAAGAAATGATGTCTGTCCTGTAATGGTGCCAGCAGAATTACCTTTCTTTCTGGTGACTTCACAGCAAAGACAGGCATGTGACAGGCAAGCAGTGGACAACGAAACGGGGTCATCGTCTTCCCTTCATCCTCCCTACACAACCAGCCTGGTGAATTCTCCTCTCCTGAAATAAAAAAAAAGACAGAGTGATGTTATTTCAGAGGAGGAGGTACAAACGTAATGTTGTTGTAGTTTACCAACTTGTTTTGTACTTATTAACAGAACGTGTCTCGTCCTCACAGCTGATCCAGGCTGTAAACTTTGTTTTAAGCAATGTCAAAACCATGCACAATAATCAAAAAGGCATTTTGCTACTTCAGGTATGTGATATGAATGGTGTTATTAGCATGTGAATGCTATTATCAACCAGAGGATAATTCTCTGCGTTCCCTGGGCCACGTACTGCCAGCACAGGGCCTCAACAGTGATTAAATCTGCACTTAATCAACAGTGAGAATCAGTCCCAGCAGGAAAAAGGCAACTGCTGGATCTGAGTTATAATAATTGATGTGCATGGTATATACATCACCGCATAGCTCTGAGCCTCACAATAGGTGCACCCCCGACAAGACGCTGGACAAATCAGCCAGAGATCTTTCATTATGGATTTCATAATCCATCCACCCATTGTGCATGAAATGTAACAGCTTCCTTGTTTGCATATTTTACTTCAAAATACATTGCACTTTACCTGTAGATTGCCCCACAAATATGCACGTACTGCCAATTTTCACAGATGCATTAAACCCATTTAGAAGTTGACTGAAAAGCTTGTTTGATCAAAATATTGTCTGTTCTCTTTTTCTGTGACAAGGGCTGCACCTAAAGGTGAATTACACACAGTATGCTTGCACTAAGGGACGGAAAAAGGTTGTAAAATTGGTTTCACTTATGTGCACAGAAACTAAAATGGCCTAAAATGATCTAAAAGTATACAGTACAGTATGTATGCAAATAAATATAAAATATATATGTGGGTTTGCATCATCTGTTACTGAGCAGCCAGGTTGCACACCGGGGTTCACAGTTCAGTGATTCAAAGCTCGAGTGCATCTGGATAAATGACAAAACATCTTTATACAAAGCAAGAAGTTACAAGACTAGAAATAAACAGCACTGGGTGATGCACTGTCTTTTCATATCTCTCACTGACTTTCATCCTGTGTTTGTTTCCTGTTGGGTTTTTCATATTTCCTTTAGCAATCTTTTGAGCATTATAAAACTAGTTTCCTTCACCTGCCTTGTATTGAACAGTGGTCATCTCAAAACAGCTATACATAAAATTAATTATAACTACATGTGTAGTCAAGTTATTGAAAACAAAAAGTGATTGACTTACACTTTATATTCTATTGTACAAGCTGTAATGTACAGATGTCATGTTATGTCATTATGTTTGCGAGCCATGATAAAGAGTCAGTTTACATTTTCACAGCGCATGTTTTGAAGAGCCGTTTAATCTGGTGATGCTTTTGTTATGATTTTTCAATAGAGGGGCCAAATGCTGACATGGAAACAGGCAATAGTGACAAAAAGGAAA